ATTAGGTATGTTACCCTTCTAGTTTCTGAGTTGGCTCTGAAATATGGTTGGCGACACCTTTGTTTCTGAGTTGGCTCAGGAATCTTGCCTCCAATTCTGTAGATTTCTGACTTGGCTCTGAGATTGGGCTTTGAACCCATTGGATTTCTGAGTTGGCTCTGAAATTAGGTATGTTACCCTTCTAGTTTCTGAGTTGGCTCTGAAATATGGTTGGCGACACCTTCGTTTCTGAGTTGGCTCAGGAATCTTGCCTCCAATCCTGTAGATTTCTGACTTGGCTCTGAAATGTGGCTTGGAACCCATTGGATTTCTGAGTTGGCTCTGAAATTGAGTTTGTCATCCTTCTAGTTTCTGAGTTGGCCCTGAAATATGGCTGCTGACACCTTTGTTTCTGAGTTGGCTCAGGAATCTTGCCACCAACCCTGTAGATTTCTGACTTGGCTCTGAAATGTGGCTTTGAACCCATTGGATTTCTGAGTTGGCTCTGAAATATGGCTGCTGGCACCTTCGTTTCTGAGTTGGCTCAGGAATCTTGCCTCCAACCTGTAGATTTCTGACTTGGCTCTGAAATGTGGCTTTGAACCCATTGGATTTCTGAGTTGGCTCTGAAATTAGGTATGTTACCCTTCTAGTTTCTGAGTTGGCTCTAAAATATGGTTGATGACACCTTTGTTTCTGAGTTGGCCCAGGAATCTTGCCTCCAATCCTGTATATTTCTGACTTGGCTCTGAAATGTGGCTTTGAACCCATTGGATTTCTGAGTTGGCTCTGAAATTAGGTATGTTACCCTCTAGTTTCTGAGTTGGCTCTGAAATATGGTTGGTGACACCTTTGTTTCTGAGTTGGCTCAGGAATCTTGCCCTCCAACCCTGTAGATTTCTGACTTGGCTCTGAAATGTGGCTTTGAACCCATTGGATTTCTGAGTTGGCTCTGAAATTAGGTATGTTACCCTTCTAGTTTCTGAGTTGGCTCTGAAATATGGTTGGCGACACCTTTGTTTCTGAGTTGGCTCAGGAATCTTGCCTCCAATCCTGTAGATTTCTGACTTGGCTCTGAAATGTGGCTTTGAACCCATTGGATTTCTGAGTTGGCTCAGAAATTAGGTATGTTACCCTGCTAGTTTCTGAGTTGGCTCTGAAATATGGCTGATGGCACCTTCGTTTCTGAGTTGGCTCAGGAATCTTGCCTCCAATCTGTAGATTTCTGACTTGGCTCTGAGATTGGGCTTTGAACCCATTGGATTTCTGAGTTGGCTCTGAAATTAGGTATGTTACCCTTCTAGTTTCTGAGTTGGCTCTGAAATATGGTTGATGACACCTTTGTTTCTGAGTTGGCCCAGGAATCTTGCCTCCAATCCTGTATATTTCTGACTTGGCTCTGAAATGTGGCTTTGAACCCATTGGATTTCTGAGTTGGCTCTGAAATTAGGTATGTTACCCTTCTAGTTTCTGAGTTGGCTCTGAAATATGGTTGGTGGCACCTTTGTTTCTGAGTTGGCTCAGGAATCTTGCCTCCAACCCTGTAGATTTCTGACTTGGCTCTGAAATGTGGCTTTGAACCCATTGGATTTCTGAGTTGGCTCTGAAATTAGGTATGTTACCCTTCTAGTTTCTGAGTTGGCTCTGAAATATGGCTGCTGGCACCTTCGTTTCTGAGTTGGCTCAGGGATCTTGCCTCCAACCTGTAGATTTCTGACTTGGCTCTGAAATGTGGCTTGGAACCCATTGGATTTCTGAGTTGGCTCTGAAATTAGGTATGTTACCCTTCTAATTTCTGAGTTGGCTCTGAAATATGGTTGGTGACACCTTTGTTTCTGAGTTGGCTCAGGAATCTTGCCTCCAACCCTATAGATTTCTGACTTGGCTCTGAAATGTGGCTTTGAACCCATTGGATTTCTGAGTTGGCTCTGAAATTAGGTATGTTACCCTTCTAGTTTCTGAGTTGGCTCAGGAATCTTGCCTCCAACCCTGTAGATTTCTGACTTGGCTCTGAAAGGTGGCTTTGAACCCATTGGATTTCTGAGTTGGCTCTGAAATTAGGTATGTCACCCTTCTAGTTTCTGAGTTGGCTCTGAAATATGGTTGATGACACCTTTGTTTCTGAGTTGGCCCAGGAATCTTGCCTCCAATCCTGTATATTTCTGACTTGGCTCTGAAATGTGGCTTTGAACCCATTGGATTTCTGAGTTGGCTCTGAAATTAGGTATGTTACCCTCTAGTTTCTGAGTTGGCTCTGAAATATGGTTGGTGACACCTTTGTTTCTGAGTTGGCTCAGGAATCTTGCCCTCCAACCCTGTAGATTTCTGACTTGGCTCTGAAATGTGGCTTTGAACCCATTGGATTTCTGAGTTGGCTCTGAAATTAGGTATGTTACCCTTCTAGTTTCTGAGTTGGCTCTGAAATATGGTTGGCGACACCTTTGTTTCTGAGTTGGCTCAGGAATCTTGCCTCCAATCCTGTAGATTTCTGACTTGGCTCTGAAATGTGGCTTTGAACCCATTGGATTTCTGAGTTGGCTCAGAAATTAGGTATGTTACCCTGCTAGTTTCTGAGTTGGCTCTGAAATATGGCTGATGGCACCTTCGTTTCTGAGTTGGCTCAGGAATCTTGCCTCCAACCTGTAGATTTCTGACTTGGCTCTGAGATTGGGCTTTGAACCCATTGGATTTCTGAGTTGGCTCTGAAATTAGGTATGTTACCCTTCTAGTTTCTGAGTTGGCTCTGAAATATGGTTGATGACACCTTTGTTTCTGAGTTGGCCCAGGAATCTTGCCTCCAATCCTGTATATTTCTGACTTGGCTCTGCAATGTGGCTTTGAACCCATTGGATTTCTGAGTTGGCTCTGAAATTAGGTATGTTACCCTTCTAGTTTCTGAGTTGGCTCTGAAATATGGTTGGTGACACCTTTGTTTCTGAGTTGGCTCAGGAATCTTGCCTCCAACCCTGTAGATTTCTGACTTGGCTCTGAAATGTGGCTTTGAACCCATTGGATTTCTGAGTTGGCTCTGAAATTAGGTATGTTACCCTTCTAGTTTCTGAGTTGGCTCTGAAATATGGCTGCTGGCACCTTCGTTTCTGAGTTGGCTCAGGAATCTTGCCTCCAACCTGTAGATTTCTGACTTGGCTCTGAATTGTGGCTTGGAACCCATTGGATTTCTGAGTTGGCTCTGAAATTAGGTATGTTACCCTTCTAATTTCTGAGTTGGCTCTGAAATATGGTTGGTGACACCTTTGTTTCTGAGTTGGCTCAGGAATCTTGCCTCCAACCCTATAGATTTCTGACTTGGCTCTGAAATGTGGCTTTGAACCCATTGGATTTCTGAGTTGGCTCTGAAATATGGTTGGTGACACCTTTGTTTCTGAGTTGGCTCAGGAATCTTGCCTCCAACCCTGTAGATTTCTGACTTGGCTCTGAAAGGTGGCTTTGAACCCATTGGATTTCTGAGTTGGCTCTGAAATTAGGTATGTCACCCTTCTAGTTTCATAGGGTCTGAACTGAGTGGATTCTCGGGACCAAAAGCCTGAGGGTCTAGGTTGGTCACCCCCGTCACTTCAGACCCCCTCGCTCCCTCCCCCCCACTGTAGACCCCCAACTGTTTGAGTCATAGCTGTTGTTGCAAAAATGCCACCAAATCCCAGGGAAATAATACCAATCAGAAATAATCGATAGGTTTTTGATGGAGACACTGTTGTTGCTATGTTCCAGGACAATATATTCAGCCTTTCTTTTTTTGTTGAACACACTGGACACACAGCCAGCCGATTTAGCAGGAAGTGTGGGCAAAATGGTTTTTTGGAGATGCGAAGCTGGACCCCAATGAGTTGCGTCCTGCTCCTGGGTGGACCAAGCCTTTGCAGATCAAACCTCTTTTACCAAGTCATTTCGATCATTTGAAGCATTCAAAGTTTGTCCCCGCTGGTGGTGGTGGCAAGCTTCCGGATCACGCAGTGGTGGCGGTGTCAACAGCCCCTTCAGAACTTCAGAGACCTCCAGAATGTTCAACCCACCATCTGTCACATTCAGACGAGGAAGTTTGGATGAGTCGGCTTGCTTCTGCGCTGGATGATGGTGGAAAGCCTGACACAGAAAAGACAGAAGAAAATGAGAAGGGGAAGATCCAACTGGTTGCTACACCACAGAAGAGTAAGCGACTTACCCAGGATGGTGCTGGGAGCACAGTTGCGGAGGAGGAGGTCAAACAAAAGGTGGAGGAGGAAAAGGCGGAGGGAGATGCCAGTGGTGGCGATGACCACCGCAACGCTTCACTTCAAGAAGATGGTAAGTCCATTCAAAAGGAAATGAATAGTTGTGGCAGTGGCAGTGGCAGTGGTGGCGGTGATGGGCTGCATGCCAAAGCTTCACACCCACCAGAGCCAGAGCCAACCAAACCAACTGAGGCCAACAGCGCCACAGAAGCAGACGGAGAAACAGTTGACACAGTGCCCGAGATACTGCCTGAGGTTTCTGTTTGTTCAAGCATCCAAGACGATGAGAATGAGAAGAAGACCAAAACAAGCCCCCCCACATGTCCAGGGGTTGCGGTTGCAAACACGGGTGATTCCAAGGTCTCAGTCTCTGGCTCTGACAGACCTGCCAATAGGAGAGATGATGGTGATGAGATTACGGAGATCAAGACGTACCAGGATCAGGATGTGAATTTGGCTGTGCCGTCGTCAAAATCAGATACCATCATGGACCCCGCTGATGGTGACAGTGGTGTGCAGACTGCCACTGCAAGTTTTACTGTGCCGGTGCCTGCGACACTTTTTGGAAGCATCTCTTCAGACTCTCTCGAAGGTGCTGGAGGTCACGATGATGTTGATGCTGAAGCTCCACCACCACCCAGTGGCACCCTGAAGGAATCAGCTGCAGACACTAGCGAAGATGTTGAGGCAGCCAGGACCCGACACAACAAATATGTTGCGAGCAACTTGATGGAAGGATACGCCTTCCACACTGATTGCATGTCTTTCCTGGAGGCCGAGTATGGAGAGGAGATGTTGCTCAAAATGGTAGCCAACGCCGATGATGATACAATGTCAACATCTTTTTCAGGCATTGAAGCTCCCCATACTGCTGCGTGTGCAAACCGGCTGGCTCTTGCCAAACATTTGGGCATCCCACCTGATCAGGTCCCTTTGCCGAAGCTGCTTCACATGATTGAGTGGGACAGTGAGAACCAAGAGGAGCTTTTACTGATTGCAAGGCAAACTGGTGCATGTCTCTTTTCAGACCCTCGCCTTTCAAAGCAAATAGTCTTTGATTTTTGATTGGTTAGACGACACGGGTATTGCAGGGGCTGGCTACAAATTCACAGATTATTAGATTCATTAGATTATGTGTTGTTATGTTTCTTATCGGGCTTCCTGCCTGCCACCTGCCACATGTCATGCTGACATGCTGAGGATATCGCCAGCTTCTTCCGCCAAGAGCTACAAGAGACCATAGACAATTTGAAGGACCCCAGAGTTGTCGGTTGTCGGGATAGATCGGTTGATTATGATTTGGTACTGGACTAATTTGTGTCAGTCAGTCTCGGTGCTGGTTGATGATAGGGGTTGATGGCTATCTGACATCAGATTATCAATCAATCATCTCATGACTCATGATTCAGACGTAGCAGCGCAGTGCAGTGATTAGTGATTCTTGAATAGGAGAATCCTGCCCTCTCTGTTGAAGTTCTTGCTCCTATTATCGCGGCTGGAAACGCTATGACTGACAGAGGGTTTTGCTTAACCCACAAGCGCAGATGCCAGCTTAGCTCTGCGAAGAAGCACACTGGAGGGACTAGTTGCGTCCCATTCAGCAAGAGAGGGGTTGGGCTTGGTCTTAAAGACCCTGCCACCATCTTCAGTTTGGCGTTTATTGGCTTGCGCCTCCTTCTGGAGGAGCCTGATGTTACACAGGAGATACTTGCCTGCCTGCCAGGCTAGTTACCTAAACGAACCCCCCAGAAGAAGGAGACATTGTAATCAATGCTTAGCTGAATGCGAACATTGAAGCAACCATCATCATGATGTTGGATACACCGTGACAAGACAATCCAAGACTAAGACTTTTTAAGACAAGACCAGCATATTTGATTATGATTTCAGTTCACTGGATTCACTACAACGATTCAATGTCAAGTCTGTGATTCCTGGTGCCTGAGGAATGTGACAGGCGCAGACATCAGTCTATTTGAGCGGTTTCTGGCACCAAGATACCATTTTGAAGTCATGGAGCTTGAGTCCACTTTGCTGGGATGGCCCTGCGCAAGGCGCAGACAATTCGTCAGGATGAGACACAGGGTGAAGGCAGGGCCAAATGGAACATCAGTGACATCACTGGTGTTATTATGATCATGATCATGGCTCTTGCGCCAGGCTCTAATGCTCTAATAGTAGATTTGATGTTGTTTTTGATTTCAAGGCGCTTAGCACCACCCTTACTGGGTCCAATACTGTGAGCATTTCCTGAATCAATCTCAAATCAAATCAATATTTCAGTGGCCCCAGGGGGCCATGTCCATGATAACAGAGAAGAACAGATTCAGATGATGATGATGGGCAAATTGACATAGCTAGTTCATGTCGTTGAATCTCAATCTCAAAAAAATCATGGATTGTTATGGAAGTTTTTCTCACGGGTTTAACTTTCCTGGCAGGTATTAGCCGAGATATCTCCCCTGGCCCGCTTCAGCCGCATCTTTCAACGCGGATGCACATTTGATTGGAGACAGTTCTTTTTCGCGGACCGACCACAGTTTGCGAACAAGTTGACGATCAGTCATGAGCTTGACAAAGAGTTAGAATGGGCACAGGGTCGGCCTGGGTCTGGAGGATTCAATCAGGATCCGGTTAGCCTTGATGACCCATTGTGTTTCCGAAAAGTTCTCACGTCATCAGAAGAATGGTTTCGGACCGTATATGCAAACCAGTGGCCAGACTCAGTCTTCCAGCTGAACCAGAACCCAGACACAAGCTTCGAGACACACAGTGCTGGCCAGGTTTTGGCTACAGTGATTAGGAACACGCATTTGCTGTACTGGGATGTGAAGGATCGCTGGATGTCTGGAACAGAGCTCTTGTGCACTCAGGGTTTCCCATGCTACCCACCAATGCGGTCTTCTTATCCCATCAAGCTACTTGAACTGATTGGTAGTTGTGGGAGTTGTGGGGCGGCTAAGGTTGAAAACACCTGGTGACATCATCATCTCATCATCAAAAACGAATTCAATAATTTGAAGTGTCAGTCTCAGTCATCACCCCAGCCCTGGCCAACCCAGGTTTTGCTCTTTTCACGAACAACGGGAAGGCAGATGCAGCAGACATGTTCGAAGCCAGACAGGAAACAGTATGAATGTTCTGCATGGCCGTCATTGACTTGCACAGTTGGGCATGTTGGTCAGTGAAGCCTCTACCGCTTTTGGTGGAACACATTCGCCTCAGCAGGAAGTCCATGATTGCTCACATCAGGCATCTCCAGGAGCGAGAGAAAGTGAAGGGCCAGCAACGCAGTATGGACCAGTTTGTTGAAGTTCCAGATGAAAGGTCGTCGTCGTCAGCAGTGAAGAAGAAGCGCAAGCCAGGGTCAGGCTCTTTGGCTGCTTCATCTTCACACAAGAGGCCTCCCAAACCGGAGTTGGTCGGACAGCCCTTCAAACGATTGAGGGGCAAGCAGCAGGTTTTGGGTCCACTCCTTCAATCTCACGATGGTTCTGATGATGTTGGAGCTGGAGGCGGTGGTGGTAATGGTGGGTCTGGATCTGAACAGCCTGCCTCTCAGTCACAACCTTCTGAGCAGACCACCGAGCCGTTTGGCTTCTCTCTCTTGCATCAAATTCGGCGTCAGGTGTCAACTAGGTTGTGATGGATTCCGTGTCAGTGATTCATCTAATTGACAACTCTTCATGATTCATGACCCCAAGTGACCCCAAATACTTGTTACTTCTTGCGGAGTAAAGTAGAGTAGTAGAGGTTGTCATTGCAACATTTACGGCATCAAGATTCAAGAACAAAAACAGACTCGTCAGACGACTCGCGGCTTCCAGTTGACACAGAGCCGGCGAAGTGTGCAGTGTGGAAACCTGTGGGGCCCTTTTCCGGCTGTCTCTTCATGATGCAATTCCAAGCCTCAAACTGTTGAGTCGTGCTGTTTGTTATTCATGGTCCTTCTTCGTCCTTATTTTTCCCCCTGATCTCGGATCCCACTACTGCAGCGATTGCTTTGAATGCAACGGAAATGATTCGATTTAGCCAGATCAAATGTTAGATGTTCTTCCGACGTTCCGGCATGGGAGATTGGTTAGACCGGATATGAATTCATGGCGTGGCTGGACTCCATTTGCTTCCATTGCTTTCTTTACTCTTTGCAGCGCTCAAGACGCCGAATGTCAAATATGGCGATCACCAAATGAATCAACTTCAAACCATCAGAAGTTGTTCTGTTCTGGAAGCTTTTTGAACTCTGAACTGACCAACTGACTTAGGACTTACGTAGCGTCATCACAGGTTTGCCATCACAGTGTTTCTGGAGTCCCGCCTGCCTCTTGCATTGTGCTTGAAATCCAGCATTGCACCGGTTGTAGCATCGAGGTTCCCGTTTATATGCAGGGTGTATACTGCACAGATAGATTTCTACACCCTTGCTTGTTCGCTACGAGGTGCTGGAAACTTGGTGGGTAATTGGGTAAGTATTATGTCGACAAATAGCATATGTATTAATACTGGAACAGCCTCAGCCTAGTTGACTGTGAAGATTGATTGATTGATTGATTGTTAAAAGATGTGGCCGCCAGTGGCTGCATTTTACGCTCATTGGCCCACCAGTACGGACATGGGTTGCAGTCGCTGAGTGAAAAACTCGGCAAGCGACCCAAGACTTTGGCTTCGGCCAGATTGAGCAAAGACAGGCAGACACAACAACAACCGACCGGGGATATGGTAACAAATGTGCTGCGGGACAATCGGAGACAAAGAGAAGAATCATTTTACATACAGTTTCATCATGTCTTATGAGTATATGGTTTTGATGGGATTGTTGAACTGTACTTATTGTTACAGGTTGTTTCTTGGGCGACTGAATCTATAAATTATGAATTTGAAGATGCAACTCAACTTGAACCTGAACTCTTACCAAATCATGACGCTTGTGAGACAGCGCAATGCAGGCTAAGTACTCCAGCAAATCCTGGAAACTTTGCGCTGCATCATTGGCGTTGCCGCCAAATGCCTGGGTTCCCAGATACATCAGTGATTTGTTTGCGACTCTTTGACTGTCAGCTCTTTGAAGTCTGAAGCATCAGAAAATTGAAATCTAAAAGGAATGTTGCACTGATCTTTGAGACAACGACGGTTGACGGTTTAACAAAATTTATCAAAGTCATCATAGACCACTCCGGCCAGCGTTTCTGATTTGATGCCCACTGTTTCCCTGCTGGCTCAAGCTGATTTTAGGCAACTAGCTCTTTTGCAGGTTGCCTTGAAGTCGCACTGAATCAGTGTTGTTGCTCAGGGCGAATTCACAGCCGTGAATTCAGTGCGTGACGACATGGACGGCATCAAGGTGAAGACTGGGCTTTTGACTGATGCCACGGTAGCTCAAATGCTTGATCGTGGTGTGGATGTCACAGACTCCAAATACTCATGTGCCGATCTTTTTGGGAGCCTTAGCGGGGCAGCCCTTTTGGATGCCATTTATGAGCGTTTCGGAGCTGGTGAAGCTGATGTGGACTGGTTCTCAGCCGGCACCACCAATGACGGGAAACCAATCATGGTGAGAAACATCATTCGTTCAGAGCTGTCACGCCCAATACAGGAGGCAACAGCCACATCTTACAAGCACCGGCTCCTCAAAGAGGGGCTCTCGCAAATGGCCTCTGGCCACTTGCACTGGAAATGTTTTTCATTGAAGTGCACAAACAAGAACTAGTGTTAACAGGTGGAACTGGAACAGGAACAGCTGTTGGTCATTTGACATTTGTGACAATTATTGGGAATTGGGAATGGTTTTCACTGAAGTTTCACTCAAAAAGTGAGCCAACAGATGTTGTAGGGGCCATGCCCATCCTTTAGATTAGACAGTCGACAGTGACCTGCCAACATAGTTCCACTGAGGCGACGCAATTTTCCGCTACCGGGACTCCTCTCGCACTCCACCATTCGAAGCGGGAAGCTTCAACCATAGAGCTGAAAGCTTCTACAGGGCTTACGAAGAGAATCCAGAAAGCGAGATGGTCCAGAAAGTTTTCAGCAAGGGATTGACAAAAGTCAAATTCATGTAGCTTGACGCTATTCGAATCTATTCGACCAATGCATGATGATGATGACGTGATGACGGTGACGACTCGAAAGACAACTTGTTAACTTGTTAAACAAAACTGGTTAAATCCTGGTTGGTTGAATCCTTGTTGAACCCTTTTGGGTGGGTTAATAGCTGGTCCTCAGGTCCCCGGGGCTGGGAAATTGGTCTGACTGACTGCGGTCTTGCTTCCAAGGTCAGAGAAGATGAACAAAGACTGCTGGGCCAAGTTCATTGAAATCCACAACAAGTTCCATGCTGGCAGCGGGGCTTCCTACATGGATGTGTGCGAAGAGGCATTGGCGCTCGAAGCTGCATGGAAGGAGAATTGTGCGGCCACAGGAACAAGCAGCTTGTATTCAAAGTGCTCGCAGCTAGTAAGGCCAATGATTTCTCTAGCTTAGCTTAGCCAGCAGCTGTGCCTGGCTGTGCCTGGCCGTTCCCTAAGGTACTGCCAACCACAAATACCAGTCTTTGTACCAGACCTTCGTTCTGGGAAAGTCCGAGACTTTCCAGACATGGCTCCCATACACGCAGGCCCTTGCATTCATCCACTGCATGAAGGGTCTGGAGATTTGGTTGCTCGGCGGAATGGGATTGAAAGGGGAACGAAATAATGGAATGGGAAACAGTATACAGATACTCATGACTCATGACTGGCTGACACTGACTGACACACTTTCCTCTTAGTTTGATTTGATTTGATTTGGTTTTCTGGAACTGGAACTGAGACTGGACACCGGCCCCGAGTGAAGTTGTCAACTGAACCAACACACAGCACACAAACACACATGTCACAAGAGTGTGTCGGCAAGTTTCTTTCCATTCCTGTCCTTCCTTGATTCCTTGATCTAAGGGACGATTTCAAAGCGTGGTCCAATGCGAATGCGGATTTCCTGGAGACCCGTTTGGCCTCACTGCCTGCCATAGCCTTGATGCACGAGCTTTCAAAACTGATCACAGGCTCCATGAAAAAGCTGTACCCGCGTAAGACTATGGCCAACGTGGTGCTTCAGGCTTTGAAATTTTGTGTCAGAAACTTAGTATTGTTCGTTGGGCTCAGGCCCAAAATTAGCTTCATCAATTTCATGAATTCCCAGTTTGCGCTGACACGCAGCAACAACAACATCACTGTGACTGTAACTGTAAATTCAATGGTAATGGAGGAGCAGTGGCTGTTTGTATGTACTACTGTATGTACTGTATGTACTGTATGTATACTTGTACTTGGTGCACATGTGTGCTCATTGGTTTTGGACTCTGGACTCTGGACTCTTAATCTTAGACTCTTACATTCTAAGCAAACACGTGAACTGCAATGGCCTGTCAGCCTGTCAGCTCTTGATGCTGCAATGACCCTTAGGTCCCTACGTTCTCCAGCAATGGTGCTCAGAGGACGCTTCCGTGGGTCTTCGAAAAGCCATCTGCAGGATCTAGTAGGCTCATGAGTGTGTTACTCATACCGATGACACAGAGTGCCACTTTCAAGAAGTTTGGGGTGGGCCCGTCAGCGGTTGAAGAGAAGAAAGAATCCAAGAAGAAGCAGGAGCAAGAGATGATTCAGGAAATGGTGAGTTCCAAATTCAAGGAAACCGGCATGGGCAGCCAGATCAAAAAGAGAAAGGACCTGGAGAAGAAGGAGTCCAAGGACACTGAAATGCAGGCTCAGGATGAGGACCAAGAGCGTGGCGATGAAGGAGGTAACGGTGCTGCTGGATGTGAAGGCCCAGCTGCCAAGAAAGCAAAGACCCAGGCCAAGAAAGCGGTCAAGTCCAAGTTCAGTGGTTTCAGCGCAGCGGAGAAGGAGCAGTACTCTGAGACCGTATCAAGCCCCACTGATGAAAAGGAGTTCCGGTGCAAGACTGCATTGGATGAAATTCTGGGGGCATTGTCTTTCACGGCCGACATCATCCGACAGAAATCACTTGCTAGATGGCAGGCAGCCAAGCTCAGCCAGAAGGAGATCAAGAAGAGTCAGGAGGAGGAAGAAAAGGCTTTGTTGTCAACAACGGGATTCTGTTTGAGCATCTTCCTCCAATTCGTTTTTACTCAACAGGTGGCCCTGAATGGAACACAGTATCGGTTCTACACAGGACTCAGAAGCGAACTTCAGGGAGTGTTGCAAGCTGCTCATTCGACATGGTCAACCAGCATGGCAAACACTGGGGCTGGTGGAGAGGAGATATCTCAGCAAAAAGATGCTTTGTCACTGGCTCAGCTGTTGTGCGACACATATGCCAACAAGCCAGTGACATCCATCGGGTGGGATGATGAGATCGAGGAAGCAGACAAACCAGCAAAGAACGTTGCTTCCATCATGACCTTGAACTACTCTCAAATTGTCCAGCCACTCATTCTGTTCTTGAAGAGGAACCTGAAGCTACCAGTTCTCCTGCACGAGTTCCCCCGTGCATTCCTGATGAAGCTTCGTACTCAGCCATCCATGGAATTGATTGACTTGCTTTCCTTCATGAAAGATGAGATCAACGAACATCTCCCTTTCGTCTGGACGGCGTTTGCAGCCGACGTGTCTGACTGCTATGGCTCAAAGAAAAGGTTCGTAGAGAAGACTGAGCAGGCAGGTATCGGGCTTGGACTTGTGGCCTTTTCCGATTGATTGACAACTCAGGAGAATGAAACTCATATTCAGTGTTGCAATTTGCCTCTTAAATATTCTTAAATAACAATTTATTTTTGCTCACGACGCCCCTACCGGCCCTGGAGTTTTTGACACTTTTTGCCCGTCAGGTAGAAGTCTTGCCCGTCAGTGAGAGGTCTCGCCCGTCAGTTAGAAGTCTTGCCCGTCAGTTAGAAGTATTGCCCGTCAGGTAGAAGTTTTGCCCGTCAGTGAGAGGTCTTGCCCGTCAGTTCGAAGTTTTGCCCGTCAGTTAGAAGTCTTGCCCGTCAGTGAGAGGTCTTGCCCGTCAGTTCGAAGTCTTGCCCGTCAGTTAGAAGTCTTGCCCGTCAGTGAGAGGTCTTGCCCGTCAGTTCGAAGTCTTGCCCGTCAGTTAGAAGTTTTGCCCGTCAGTTAGAAGTCTTGCCCGTCAGTGAGAGGTATTGCCCGAAGTTTTGCCCGTCAGTTAGAACTTGTGCGCGAAGGATAGTGTGATTTTCTTGGGGAACCGGGTGGGGTGGGGGGGTGGGGGGGTGGGGGGGGCCAGGGGTACGCTGCATCATGTCTCTTGTCACTTGGCAGACGCTCTTGATGCTACGCTGCATCATGTCTCTTGTCACTTGCCAGATGCTCTTGATGCTACGCTGCATCATGTCTCTTGTCACTTGCCAGACGCTCTTGATGCTACGCTGCATCATGTCTCTTGTCACTTGCCAGACGCTCTTGATGCTACGCTACAACATGTCTCTTGTCACTTGTCAGAAGCTCTTGATGCTACGCTCCAACCTGTCTCCTGTCCTTTGCCAGAAGCTTTTGATGCTACGCTCCAACCTGTCTCCTGTCCTTTGCCAGTCCCTCTTGATGCTACGCTGCAACCTGTTTCTTGTCCTTTGCCAGAAGCTCCTGATGCTACGCTGCAACCTGCCTCTTGTCCTTTGCCAGAAGCTCTTGATGCTACGCTGCAACCTGTCTGTTGTCCTTTGCCAGTCGCTCTTGATGTTACGCTGCATCATTTTTTTTTGCCAGACGCTTCTGATGCTACGTTTTGTCTGGCGCTCCAATACACTTGGAAAGCACCAGCTGAAAGACTTAGGAAAAATAGCCCAAAAGACTTGGACTGCCTGAACGCTTGTTACGAACAAAAAATCCAGTTTTTTGTGCGTTCAGGAATTGAACTTCGTAATGTACTCAAAAAATAGGCAGACCAAGACAACGCTGTAAGGGTTGTGCGAAATACAAGAAAGCAGCGAATGCAGATGTGAAAAAACTCCAGGGCCGTTACGGACGGCGTGACCTTGTTTTTTGTTGCTGCAGTTGCCGCATGTCACCGTCTATGCAGTACTGTGTGCAAGTTTTTGCAGTGCTGCAACAGTGACAGGTGTTTGAGAATGCGGAGAACCTGGCAAAGTTTTCGTCACTCAGAGCCAAGTATTTGTGCTCAGTCCTTCCGGAGTGTTTCAACTCTGCTGCAGACTTCAGTGTGAAGGATTGCACCCCGAACCTTCTCAAGTTGTGCGAGCACTTCGCGCAGTGTGAACAAATCAAGGACTTTGAGAAGGATGTAAATTTTGGAGTGCTTGCTGCTTGTGATACTTTGATGACGTCTGTCGAGTGGCCTGCAGTTTGGCATTACTTTTTGACCAATGGTTCTCCCTCAACCCTTGAGGAAGTCGCCGGAAATGCGTCCAGAAAATTCAGCATCAGGTTGCCATCCAAGCCACCCCAGGTCAATGGCAATGGCAACAGCAACAGCTCCAAGGATGAAGGTGAGAAGAAGACTGGTGATGGCGCGGAAGCCGAGGCAAAGGAAAAGGCGGCTGAGGCTGGCGCTCCGGCTCAAGAGGCTGTTCAAGAGGCTGAACAAGAGGCTGAAGCTGAGGAGGAAGATGATGAGCAGCTGGATGATTTCTCGTCCCTTCAACTTGTCAACACCTACCGGCTGCCAACTTTGGATGATGCCCTGGACGCTTCGCCAGAAGCGAAGGCGCTTGGGCTGTCAAAGATTTCCGGCGCTTTCTTGCGACGGTTTGAGGTTGAGCTTGAGCGGGTGATGTGGCACATTTGGACCGACTTTTGCGAGGACGAAGAAACCTCAGTTTCTTTGGACCTGTCCAAAACAAACAAGACCGAAGCCATCATGGTCAAGTACCCAACAAGCTTGGGGTTGCAGCTTCCCTTTAGGGGGAAAGTGACCTGCAATCCTTCAGGCGCAAAAGCGCCACGTCATCTCTTGACCAAAGCTTTCGGATTGAATTTTTTCGTAGAACCACCCAGTGACAATATTTGCATTCCGGCTTGGAGTGTGAAGACGACATCGCGACATGACCTCGCCTACTTTGAGCAAATTGTCCGGAAGATCGAAATTGCAATGTTGATCCCACAACCTGTGCCCACCGCTTGCTTGGTGAACAAGGATTCCATGGAAGTTGACCCTGACAAAGTCGTGTTTGAGTTGATTCCTTGCGTGCCAGATCCACGTCCTGATGAACCCAACAAGACTTTCCAGAGTCCGGTGTGGCGTCTTGAGGATGTGCCTTGACAGAATTGATTCGATTTTCAATCTCGTTTTGAAGTTTGACTGGCCGACCGCTTGTAGTTTTGTTGACTCATGTGCTCTCTATACTTGTCTGCCTGTTTTTTTAATTCTATACTTGTGACCTTGTACCATAGTTGATTGACATCAAAATAATGGCCCCAAGCCAAAACACACCGATGTCACACACAGGACTTGAACAAGATGAAGCCGGAAGAAGACTACAAGAAAACAATGCTGACAGTAAAGGTATCTTACCTGCGGCCCGTGACAGATTTGAATGCCAAGTTGGAGGAGGCAGGGTTTGGATTCATTCAGATGGGTGTAGATACCAATGTTGGGCGGCTTTCTCCACAACAACATCTGGGAGATTTTTGTTGCGCATGTGTACGGGCCACGCCCTGCCAGTGTAAGTAAGAGACGCATCTTAGTCTTGGCCCCTTCTGCCCGTCTTGCGCTGCAGGACTTGAAGGTTCAGAAGCAAAGGGCAGAAAGGACTGCCAAAGCTTATTGCAGAAGCATCTCAAAGAAGCAAAGTCTGAAATCGACAAGGAGGCGGTGCGCCCAACCACCAGCAGGGCGGCGAAGGCAAAAGCGAAATCTGGCCAGGCTGGAAAGGGCAAGGCGCCGAAGACCAAAAAAATTCTTGACATGGAGCTGCCAGAGGACCCGGTGGAAAGAGCTGCCGTGTTGCAAAAGGCGATCCAGGATTCTGAGGAAATGGAGGGCTTGGTCAAGCAAGTTGTGGGATCTTGCAAACTTCCTGAGAAACTTGCCATCACCAAGTTGGAGAAAGATGCAGTCAGCCGCTCCCAACGGACAAAGGCCATGCAAGAGCTACTCAAGCAAGCGCAGGCAAAAGCAGCGAAGATGTCGAAGAAAGAGGCACCTGGCCCAGATGATGAACAAGATTGTGACGATGACGTGGTGTTCAAATCCCAACTCGAATCATTGGCGTCATTTGGGTGGAAAGGGGCTGTGAAGTGCGCTGAGGAACAAGGACTGCTTGCTCATTAAATTCCCAGTCCATTGAATTCTCAATTCATTGAATGACTTGGCTCTTCCAGCAGTTGGACATGCAAAAGTTTGGCCGCGTGTCCAACAAAACAGTACAGTAGAGTAGACCCCAACGCGTGAAGATTTTAGACAGTAAATGAGGCTTGCTGTGTGATTTTTTGAGCCGCTCTCATTCAGGACAGCGCCCGGAAAAGAAGAAAAAGATTGACAAGGTGGAGAAGAGTCGCGAGACGAAAGACTTGATGAACTTGAGCATGCACCTCTTGAAGTGATTGTGAGGTGGCTAGCTAGACAATTGATGTTTGGTTGCTTGGTTCATCTGTCAGCAGGACACCACTTGAATAGTGCATGCTGCAGACTTTTTTCCAAGTCTTGAGGGGCCGCTTACAAAGACAATGCGCTTGTTCTTCCAAGTGCCCAACACATCGTGAACCGTGAAATATTTGTGTGCGCCGCAATTTCTTGTGTGTTTTCTCGGCCCCCATCAAGATGATCACCTGGCAACAAGACCGAATTGCGACACTTCAAAGCTCAAGTTGTTGAATCTGACAGGAGCAGAAGGTGATTGTGTCATCAAGTTTGTTAAGGGCTAGGCCAGTAATGGTGTGCTTGATTTTGGCGAGCTGTTGTTTTTTCATATTGTGGCGCTATTCTTGAGGGGATTGTGTTTCCTGTAACCTGTCGGATTCAGTTTGAAGAATCCATCCAGTCACTCAGTTCCGTCACGGTCATGGCAAGCTGGAGGCAGAACGAAACTAGTTGAGAAACACTGGCTTGCAGCTCCAGGACAGACTACTCTTGTTTTTGTTGCTTCCGAGAATTTGCCACCACTGTCAACCAGGACGGCGTTAGATAGGGCAACTGCACTCAACCAACCCAATTTTCTAAACAATACAGATCTTGTTGTGCAACGATGGTTAATTTGTAACTGGTTTTTCTTTCCTGATTTCAGAAAGGAGGCTTCCAATCCCGTTGATCTTTCATACTTCGGCGTTGGGGTTTTGCTTGCAGTTGGGCCAGGATATAAAGCTGAATGGTCCCAGTAGAAACGCGTCAATTGAGTCATCTTTATTCTGGTCGCTTCGCGACGACAACCGCCCGCACCGGAGTGTTAGCTTCGGAGTTCCAATGAATAAAGCATAATAAAACCATATGTATCCATATGTGCTATGTTGGGCCTTTGTAGGGCGTATGTTGGGAGTATCTTGGTCCCATGATGGCTTATGTTGGGCCTATGTTGAGGCATCTTGGGCCATGTTGGGCTTATGTTGGTTCCATGTTGGGCCTATGTTGAGGCATCTTGGGCCATGTTGGGCCTATAGTGGGGTTATGTTGGGCCTATGTTGGGGCATCTTGGGCCATGTTGGGCCCATGTTGGGCCTATGTTGGGCTCATCTTGGGCCATGTTGAGCCCAAGTTTGGCAACTGAGCCAATTTCACGACCTTCTCAACAACGTGGAAAAACCCACGATTCTAGAGCAAAAATGCCGACCCCCCCCCCAAGCTAAAGCTTAATAGCTATTGCAATTGCTTACGGATCATGTGTGCCAACAAAAACGCCTCGGCACCTTCGGTGCGGGCGGATTTTTATCATGATTTTTTCACAGCATATGACAGTTTCAACCGCACCAGTTTTTTTTTTCAAAAGTAGATGTCAATGAAACTTAAATCTCAAAGAAATCTTATGAAACTTACCATTTGTCTTCAGCTTTCATCCGATTTCAATCTCGTACAGTCTCCGAGAGCTCCCTAGCTCTTGGCTTCACATACCCCTAGCAGAAGCAGAGGAAAAAACACAATATCTGCTGGGCAAGTTTTGTTTCAAATGTGTTTTGGTCATGTAATGATTCTGCGACTTTCAAGTGCTCAGTCAGGCCAATCCACTTATTGCTTGACCTAGATGTGGTGGGATCCACGCAACCTTCCTTCCAAGGTCGGTGCCATCTTCTCTTCTGGCTGGGCGGCGTTGGCTTAGCCAAGATTCACCAGCTTCCGTTGTGCAAAAAAGTTGCATTTTGGGTTGGCTACAGGGCCATTAGACACACTGATGAAGTGGGTTGCAATTGACTTGTGGCCTGTTTTTTTTCACCTTGGGTGACTGGCAGCAACCCTCGCCTTTGACTTAGGTTCCATTTTTCTGGCTGATTTTTAGACTATCCATTGAACTTTCTGGCCCTATTTTTGACGCAATTTTGACTCTATATATGTCATGTGGTATCGAGAGAACATTTTGAAGCCCCTCGTGGCTACCCATGTACACCACCCCCCGGCTTCAAGCCATAGCTAAAACTGACTGTTACGAATATAATATTATATAATATTATAATATATTATATTATATTATAATATATTATATTATATTACACCTTAAAGCAGGGGGTCACCGGGGTCCCGGGGGGGTCGGTGACCAATGAAGACACCTCCCCGGGACCCGTGAAAATGTACCTGCTGGGCTTTGGTGGTGCACCTGGGCGCATTTAAGTCGCAGCTGGTGGCCACCATAGCCTATATATATATATACATGTAACCAATCTAAGCTAACTGCACGTTAGGGGACTCAGTTCCCGACGGATCTCTTAAAAGATCCACTCTTGTCTAGTGTGTAACATCTGGATAGATAAAAAACTTCTCCTTTTTCTTTTTCCCCCCTTCTTTAACTAATTGTTTTTCATGCAGGGGGCGACAGGCTTGCTGCATGGCTGTCGCCAACGAAGCTCCATGCAGTTGACTAGGATATGGAGTCTGATCAACTCCACGTACCTGCATCCAATTTTCGGTGATGGGAAGAGGCTCAACCCAAGAACCTCCATGTCGACGGTTTTGCATTTTTGCTGCATGGTGGTCGCAATCTGTAATTATTTTTTCGACGTCATGGTCATGGCCTATGTTCAAGTTGATGGCATCTATTTGACGGTTTCTCTTTGATGACATTCATGGCAACGATGGTCTGCTCGGAGTACCTCTTATTGATCAACTTAGGATCCAGGGTTTTGTTTTTCCTCACTAATTTGCATGTTAAAGGATTCAGTTCCTGCTGGATCTCTTAAAAGATCCATTCTTGTCTAGTGTGATTTCCATGGTGACTCCGACATGGTGCCATGGAGCCATTTGAGGCAACCCTGTTTAGGGTGACTGTCGACTGACCGGATTACTGACTTGACATTTTTCAATTAGCAATTCGTTTAAGTAAAGTGGAACAGACGGCCTTTCCGTTATTCACCTTTTTTGTGAAGTCCCGCTGTTCCGGCCGTCCTTTGCGAATCTTTGAAATCTGCACTCCCTACTTGTGAAACCGTACCGAACCACCACAAACTCCTTTTCGCCGCTGTTAATTGTTTGCAATGCAACGTGTCGCAGAGGCAACAGGCATGTCCTTTTCCTGCAGGTGTGGTCACTTTGGTTTCTGGTGAGGTCAACCTTTGTGCACTTAATTCATCGAACTTGAACAGCCGTTTATGCCCATGTGGCTTGACTTGACCACGGTCCCGGTTGGGAGTAATGCGCGACTCTCTAGGTGTGAACTGAGTCCCCCTTAATCGTTGTTGCTTTTTCTGTTTCACCAACTAGTCCCCCATTCGGTCCCCTATTTCATGCGTTCTTCCTTCCCTAGGTAGGTTGGGTCCTGCGCGTGCCGAGGTAGGCGTAGGTTTTCGCTGTGTCAGGTTGGTTCAGGCGCTTCCGTCTTCCCCCCCTCCGCTGGTCTTGTTCCGTGTCCGTCGGCCTCCGGTTTTCTTTTCCATTGCCCTTTCAGGGTTTGCCCGCTCCGGGCCAGGTGTGTTGGTGTGTGTTTGCTCCTTCCCTCTTCTTTTGCGCTCCCCTCCTCGGGTCCCGGTTAAGAAATCTTTCATCTCATCTTCACTTTCATCTCATCATCACCCCCCTACTCATCCCCATTTTCACCTCATGTGCCCGGACACCACCCTGCCAAAGGCAGGGTGTGTGTGTGTGTGTGGAACGTCTGAACAGACGAAAAACTTCGTTCGTGGCTCATCATTATATATATATATATAATATTATATTATATTATATTATGTAATATAATAATATAATATAATATTATATTATAATATATTATATTATATAATATTATATTATAATATATTATATTATATTACACCTTAAAGCAGGGGGTCACCGGGGTCCCGGGGGGGTCGGTGACCAATGAAGACACCTCCCCGGGACCCGTGAAAACGTACCTGCTGGGCTTTGGTGGTGCACCTGGGCGCATTTAAGTCGCAGCTGGTGGCCACCATCGCCTATATATATATATATACATACATACATGTAACCAATCTAATCTAACTGTGTGTGTTTGCTCCTTCCCTCTTCTTTTGCGTTCCCCTTCGCTTTCATCTCACTTTCATTGTCATTTCATCTGCCCCGCTGCTGTCGGGCGTGTGTGTGTGTGTAACATCTGAATAGATGTAAAACTTATCTCTTTTTTCTTCCTTCCGTCCTCTCCCCTTCTAATTATAATAATGCAGGGGGACAGAGCTCTCTGATGCTACTCTGTCCAATGAAGCTATGCATCAGAGAGGGAAGCATCCATTGGCCATGGATGTGTACCTGCAAACATGTCTAATGGTCTAGGCTGGTTTGCACGTTACAGGACTCAGTTCCTGACGGATCACTATAATGATCCATTCTTATCTAGTGTGATTTCCGTGGTGACTCCGACATGGTGCCATGGGGCCAATTGAGGCAACCCTTTTTAGGGTGACTGACGACTGTCCTGACTTCGGAATTCACACATTTTAATTTGGTAATTCGATTAAGTAAAGCGAAACAGCTGGCCTTACCTTTTTCCAGCCTTTTAGGGTTGTCCCGCTGCTCTTGTGGTCCCAGGGTTCCTCGCCAAACTGCTTGTCTATCAGAGTGAAGCCGTTCTGAACTTCCTGAAACCTCGTTTTTTCTGCAGCTTTCGCTTTTACAGTGACAGATTAATCATGACATGACATGAAAGACAGGCAGGCACACGTCTTTCAGGTGTGGTCTTTTTC